GCAGTTACCTGAAAATTCCATCCCACAGACTTTTCATAGTGTACTTTAAGCCGATGAAAGTCTTTTATCAACTCTTCGAAAAGTGTAGATGGTGGATTAACATTCAGCACATGATCACTACTAAGATGTGTCATTATTTGTAACTTTAGATGCCATGGTTTTTTAAAACAAAATCTGTCAGTGTTATTTTCATTCTCATCTTCAGTGCTTTACATTTTGGGGTAGTAGCTCTCCCTGTCATCACAAGCCAGAAGGCATTGACTGAGTGATTGGGATTGACAGCTGATATTAACCAGTTCTAGAGCAGTGGGCCAATAAGAAGAGCGCGAAGCACATGCAACAACTTTATGCACTCGCATAAATGCTCCCAAATATATTTTTAGGTCGCATACAGGCTTCTCTCTGCCATCTGTAACAGGTAAACAGTCTTCAAAGCTGTCATGCATATTAATGAAACTGCACCTTATACACAATAGAGCTCGCTGATTGGTTTGAACCAAGTCTATCTCTTGAATTAATGATGAAAACTCAAAGACGTCACGTTGTGCTTGTCAGAACAGACATCATTATTTCCTCACAGCCCCGTGAGCATTTATTGTTTGTCGCAAATGAAAGTGAAGAGTGTTGGGGAGTCGCGAAAGTGAAAGTAAAGTGAGCAGCGGACGGCGGAGGAGGACGGTTGAAGAGGGGTTTGGTAAAATTAGGTGAGGGATACGGCGAGTTCCGCCACAAATTTTGCCCTGAATTAATGAATATTACACCTGCTCAGTGAAAACCAGATGATTTACTACATTGATAAATCTGACATAACTTGATTAGAAATCTAAACAGCGGAGGAAATATTAAACCTTCAATAGAAAGTAATACTGTGGTTAAGAGTCTTGCAGATAACAGTACTTGTTTTGTTTTTTTTCATAACCGCGCCATTGTGGTCCAGTGGTCAGCACACTGCGTAAGGATACCGCTAACCTAAATTAGGATCTGAGCTAGGATCTCATTTCAGTATTTGTTTTCTTTCCATTACTAGTGTTAAGAAATATAATATTGTTTATGTTATTTATATAGGTTTATTATATAGGTACTTTTTTTTTCTGTGACCACCGTTACAAAGCACTGGATATCTATAAAGAATGTTGCACATAATATATACTCGGATATATAGGACATTGTGATGTTTTAAAGAACAGAGTTGCAGATTTAGCTGCCGTTTAATGTTCTCATATTTATGAAAAACATTTGAAGTTCTAAAGCAGCTGTTTCCTTAAAAAAGACTGGATAGTGTCATTAGAAACGGAATTGGAAATTACGTTATTTTAATATAGTCAGTCGTGAACTGAGGTGGGCCGGTCTAAGGCTTGCAACTCCAGGGCTGAAAAGGAGTCCCACTCTGGCCCTGGATTGATTAAAGGTGCATTATAGAACAAACTAATAACCTTTATTTGTAGGAGTGAAGATTAGAGATGGTTAAAAGCTAACTGTATTTTATAATTAACTATTTTTTTTATTTTACAGTAAAATAGGTTGAATTCAGGTGCTTTCTTTGGTGAAATATGTGTTGGATAAGAATTTACTCTTTAAAAATATACATATAGTGGATGGCATGTGTGTTTATGTGAGAGACAAAGAAGAGATTTCACCAACTATTTACTGCTTTGAGACCTCATCCCAAGAATATAAATGGCATATTTTGCATTGCAGTGGTTGTGTTTATTAGGTTTCTCCTGGCCGAAGCTATTTCTTCTCATCAACTTTAGTTGCTCATATTCTAATTCCACCCAAGAATGGCATCCCTGTAATGGCACTCAAAATTGCTGTATTAATAATAAGCATGTCTGTTTATTGTAAAGTCTTTCGTAGACAGTGCCAGCCAACTCTGATGCCCACAACAGTAGCTATGTTGCAAATTTAACTTGAAAATGAACAATTTGTAAATGAAGCACCATTTTCATCACTTTTGGGGTCACTTTTTGGCAAACTGCTTTAAATTAAACATGATAAAATATAAGTTGCTTTAACCATTTAAGCCCTGAAGCTATTTTTTCCCCAAAGTAATTAGTATATAATTAATGTAATAATTTTTGTTGTTGTTGTTGCTCATTATGAAATTTATTCAATAAATTTGTTTCTTTTGTAGTTTATTAAAAATGGTCTGCCTTAAGTGTTTTTAATGTGCATTTTAATAATTTATGAAATATAATAGTCGGCATGGCAGCTCAGTGGTTAGCACTGTCGCCTCAGAGCAAGAAAGTCACTGGTTTGAGTCCCAGCTGGGTCAGTTGGGATTTCT